CCGCCCATATTTTAAACGGGCCGGGTCGGGCCCGGCCCGGTGGGCTAAAACATGTGTCCAAACCCGCTCATTTATATGGGCGGGCCGGGCGGCCCGGGCGGCCTGGCCCGGTTTTGTGCAGGTCTAGTTCCAAAGTGGAAAAAAACTACGAAGTATTACTGGTTCAAAGCCTAGGAGTAGAAACCCTTTATGAAGCATTACACGTGGGTGAAGAGACGCATAGACAACTTTCATGGAATGTTCCAGTACTAATTGCTCTTCAAGCTGCTAGAGCATTAGCACACGAGCATAAGAGTAAGTTTTATACTAGTATAGAATCTATTCATTTCCATTGCAGTAGCCTTTATATAATTATATTAAAAAATAAATAAATTAAAGCACCACATTTTGTTCAAAAAAAAAACGTGTACACTGATCATTTTTGTTTTACAACCAACTTATTAGGGTTGCACAAGAATAACCCGAACTCGCATAACCCGCCCGACCTAATCCTACCCGACCCTATTTAATCGGGTATTTGATTTTAAAAAATATTCATGGGTTAAATATGTTTGAACACGCACCTAATGGGTAGGGTTGCCGAATTAAAATCTCAAACCCGATAGTACCCGACCCGGCCGAAGTTCATTTTACTATTATTATGCTACAATGTTTTCTTGAATAATTTCAATTTAAGACCAATGTGCTCTATCTATGACTTTATGATATTAGAATTATAATTAAACATTTACCATTTTGACTCAAGTTTTGCCCATTTTAAATAAATTGTCTGTGTACACAGATAACTAGAAGGATTTTGTGTACAATTTGTGTACAGTAAGAATTTTCCTGACATTGTGTACTTCAATAAAATACGGAGTATGACATTTTTTACTACACTTCAACTTTTACTTTTTTTTTTATTTTGATCACTTTTTGTTTGGAACATTCTTCTAAACCTACTAATCCTACTATAGTACTCTCTCCGTCCCTTAAAACTTTGTCATCTTTCCTTTTTGGGACGTCCCAGAAAACTTTGTCATTTTCCCTTTTAATCAATATTTTGTGGTTCCTGTTATTTCTCTCTCTTTTGCACAAACCTCACCACACAGTTTTTACTTTATTATTCTTCGTGCTGGTCAAACTTGGCAAAGTTATAAGGGACGGAGGTAGTATATGCTAATTCCAACATCCTTGATTGAGATGTAACTCGAACCTACGACCTCCTCATTGGGAGATCAGCAGTGATGCCATCAGACCACAAAGTGTTTGACATTTTGATCATTACTAAGAGCATCTCCAATGCTACAATATGTACGGTGCACATGTGGCATGAGAGAAAGATACAAAATATTGATTGTATGACATTTCTCTCTCCTTCTTTCCATGGTCTTATGTGTTTTTGGTAACTTTTTGTCTGCAATGTCAACCACAATGTCTACATCTAGACATTGTGCTTGACATTATGAAGAAAACTTACCAAAATGATGTAAGATCGATCCTTCAAATAAGGAGAGAGATATTCTATTTATCGTTTTTTAATTGGTTATTTCTCATGCCACGTATGACTTGTTAACGTTTTAGCATTGAAGATGCTCTAAACATTTTCTCCTAACCCACTTTAAAAATCAGTTTTTTAAAGTAGAAGAAATGAAAATACTATCCTCCGTTTCATTTTAATCGCAACATGTTGAATTTTACATTATTCACAGGTTCTACTTTGACTAAATTTTACGTTATTATTTTATGAAAATTATTTTTAAAAAAAGATATTGTGCAATTCATCTCATTACAAAGTTTCAAAATCCGATTTTTAAATTTTTTTACTAATAGGGATTAAGATATAATTACGGTCAAAGATGTGCGTTAGTAAGAGTAAAATGTTGACCGTTGCAACTAAAAAAGAATGGAGGAAGTACTTTTTATGTAAGGTAGCTTCTCCGACTTACCAAGTCATAAAAATTGATATGTTAAATGATTAAAAAATAAAATGAAATGTTGAAAAAGAAAAATAGACTTTACAAATCATTTCGAGATGAAGTATTCAACAACATTTTTCAAAACTTCGTTCATTGATTTATAGTGATATTTCAATTACTGTGAAAATTGAGAAAAATAAGAAGAAAAATAAGTGGTTGGAATTCCACGATAACTCAAATTACTCTGAAAATTATAAAATTTTGACTTTTTGAGTGATTGAGATTTTTGTACAAAACAATTCAAATGCAAATAACATGCACTCCGTATTTTATTTGCAAGGACGAGCGAATCTTATTTGGTGAAGATCTGAAAAGAAAAGTATAAAAATGATTTGGCAACATTATTTTTTCACCAAACACATAATACTCCTTATTTGTTTTCGCGCGCTGAATTGTGTCATAAGTAGAAAAGGTGAGGTTGAAGTTACTTTTCTAACTGTATTGGCTGAAGTTACTGTAGATGACTATTTAACCATTTTTACATATAATCTTTTCTTTATTTTATTAATAAGATATATTTTAAAAATATTTTTTTCTTAAATCAGCAGAATCAACCAACACAGCCAGAACTTCATAAATTTCAGCAGAATCAGCCAAATCAGCCAATTTTCGTGCTACCAAATGGGCTCCATGTTGAATAGCTTTGCGGGCTGAACCTGGATTTTAAGTAATCCTACAAAGCAATCTAATTATAAAAACTTTTTTTAAATAAATTATAAAATCTTTAATAAATCGTTATTTTAACAGTGTATTTCAAATTAAGAGTCCCGTTATTGCCCAACCGGCCTGACGGGAACCGCCGTCCGGCTGAGGGCATTTCGGGCACTTCCCGATCGAATTTTTTGAGCACGTTCTTCGTTAAGTCTAGTTTATCCATACTAAATTTCAGGTCAAAATGTTATCAAGAAGGCATTCAAATCATTTTTTGAAGTTGACTGCGTCAAAATATACATATAAAACGCAGTCAACTTCAAAAAATATGATTTGAATGCCTTCTCGATCGAATTTTGAGCTGAAATTTGGTATGGATAAACTAGACTTAATGAAGAACACGCTCAAAAAATTTCATCACAAAATTTGATCGAGAAGTGCCCGAAATGCCCTCGGCCGGACGACAGTTCCTTTCAAACCGGCTAGACATGAAGTTTACTCTTCAAATTAAAGTGTACCAGAGTATTTTTTCGATATACGGAGTAACTTTCAGACGTTGTACAATAGTATAGTTTTCAACCGATTAAAGTCAAATCTAAACCAATGGTCACTCCAAATAGGGATGGACCGGACCCGGGCGGCCCGACCCGGCTTCGGGCTTAAATTTGACCAGACCAGCTAGTCCTAACCACTACTTTAAAAAAAAAAAGGAAAATGGAAACTAATAATCCAACATTTTAGCGGTCTTCTTACAATAGTCCCACCTTTTCGTTATTCATGAATAATCCAACATTTGTACCACATCTTCATTCATTGGTCCCTAATTGGTTGATGATCTGTTATTCTAAGTTATTTTCTTATCATTGCAAACCATTATACCATAAATCTCACTTTTAACAATGATATTATTTTGCAGAGATAAGAAAATAACTTGAAATAGCAGGTCATTAACCGGTCAGGGAACAACGAATGAAGATAAGATGCAAATGTTGGATTCTCCTTGAATAACGAAAATATGGGCGGGAACCGACACTGTTTGGAACCGGCCCGGCCCGGCCCGATGGCCCGCCAGAGACCGGTTCGGTTAGGCCCGACCCGAGGGTTAAGTTGGGCGGGCTCGGGTCACCCAAATTAGGAACCGGCCCGGCCCGGTCGAGCCCTGTTCGTTTTTTTTTTAATTTTTTTTTTTGTTTTTTCAATTTTTTCTGTATTTTCACGGGTTGGGCTGGGTGTTTTGGGGTGGTTTGGGGGGTGAGTGTGAGAGGGGGGGGGTCAGGGGTTAATTAGAAAAAAAATAGGAATCAGCCCGAGGCCCGGCCTGGCCCGGACTCGATGGATAACCAGGCTAGTTTCGGGCCTCAATTATCTCCCAAAAAGCCCGGTCAAGCCCGGCCCGGCCCGGCCCGAGTCCATGCCTAGATGAGACTTTTGTAAGAAAACTTTTAAAAGGTTGGATTATTAGTTTCCATTTTTCCCAAAAATAAAATAAAGGTTGGGTACCGGTCTACCTAACCCAGGACCGGTACTGTTTGAACCCGAACCAAAACGGGCACCTAAACAAACCAGATCGGTACCAGGCTTCATTTATTTAGAACCGGAAATGGCTGGGCCTGGGCCCGGGCCCAACCGGCCCGATTCCATGCCTAAGTCCAAAACTCCCAAAAGGCTAGAATGGAAATGGGATTTGATCCGTACAGCAGACAACTATGAGCAATGACCTCGATAGATATTTCATATTTGCCATTATGAATTGCAGAATATACTATTATGTGGTAAAAGATTTTGTTTATTAGCATAACTGAATTGCAGATGCATCAAAATTTACACCGTGTTGGGGTTGAAAAGGATAATTATAACAAAAATTCCTTTTGTACACGTTTTTGTACCCATCAGTACACGCATGTGTCTGTGAGAGTTTTTTTTTGTCTGTGAAGCGCGGTCCACAGACAAAAGCTGGTTTGTTTTGTCTGTGAAATTTTCCACAGACAAAACAAGCCAACTTATGGCTGTGGACCGCGCTTCACAGACAAAAAAACTCTCACAGGTGTACTGATGGGTACAAAAACGTGTACACCAAGAATGGTTGTAATTATAATACCCCGTAACACTTTGTAATTAGTACCCTCAAACACCCAGAAATTAATACGGAGTAGTAAGTTAAAGGTACTCGACTTCTTATTCTAAACCAGACAAAGGTCCCATTTGTATAGCGGCGGATTTAGCAATCCGCTGTTCTTTTTTAACTACAAACCGCTACTTTTAGCAGCGGGTTGGTATGAATCCGCTGAAAAACAAACAGCCCCAAAATGATGAACTGAAATTGGTGTATCAAGAAAGTATAGCAATACTTGTTGGTGAAGAAGAAAAGAGGGAAGACGACAAACTAGTAACCCCAGTAATCGTTTCGGATTTCATCATCGAACTTCTTCTTGAGTTCAGAATGCTTTGCAAAGTATTCATCTGCGGTCATAGTGCTGAGTTTTTTCTTAAGCTCTTGCACATCTCCTATTTCTTTTTCCAATCTTTCAGACTCCTTCAATGATTGCTTCTCAGCTTCTTTCAGCTCTACCAACTACAAACAACTTGTCAATGAGTAATACAAAGATACACAAGAAGGGTTATCACTTTTGAATAAGATGCAAAGTCCAATACCATTCAAAAAGTGGGGTGCAAACTCAAAATTCCCCTATTATTAACAATAATAAATAATACGGAGTATTAAATACTAACAACAATAATAGTGAAGAAAATGTTGATTCATCTTACCAAGGCATCAAACTTGGGTTTATATTGGGGGGTCACTGTATCCACATATTTGGGGATTTCAATGCCTGTGAAACCAAATGATCAAAGTTCAGAAACTTGTACTAATTTAACGACAACAAATCTCCTGGTGGAATAGACCAGAGCTCTACAGTAGAGAGTTGCCGACGGGAGTATGGGTCAGGTCATCATCATCATCACCAATACCTTAATCAGAAGTACGGTGGGATCGGTGACATGAAATTTATAGTGCAAGTTCATTGTCAAAACATAATTAAGGCTATCGATCAAGAAAAAATGTGACAGTATTACGCTGGTTGACTCTGGCAACTTTTTTACGATGGCATAAAAGAAGATGTAATAATCATCATATTTTTATATGCAGTGGCATTAAAAAGTTTTTGTAGTGAATAAATAATACAGAGTATACTTATTTAATTTTTGTACAATGAAGGCATATGAAATACATGTCAATGGTTTGGCATCCTTTTTTACATATTCAGGGGTTAGCAAACTCTTTTTGCATATGAAATACCAAAAACACAAACAAAACTGAAACATACATTCAAGGAAACATTCAAGGAAGAGGCAAATTCTGTTATTCCCTATAAGGCTATAAGATAGGTGAAGCATGTGCACTATTTAATCCCTAAATAGTAAATACTGCAGTTTAAGATCAGTTACAATGTACTTTGTAATATAGTAAGACAGTGGAAAGACAAAAAGGAAACATACTCTCATATGCTTCCTTGTACATATCCACCAAGCGAGAACCTAACCCTTTCCTGTAATGCTCCCAGTCTATGGGTTCGGGTTCCTACAAAAGTTAACAGACAAAATGAGACAGAAATTCTCCACTCTCCGATGCCATAAAGGAAATACCACATAGCAACAACAAAATCTGACTTATTCGAATTATAAATAGCAACACACTTTAACAATCGAAATATCGAAGTGATTATATAGGCATCATATATATTTCATACAAACCATTACTTATCAGTTTTTTTTTCTTCCAAAGGGAATGATTCTTGAGTTCAAACTTAATGTAACTTCAATTCAAAAGAAATAGAAAAAGTTAGCCTAAATAATGCAAGATCAATATACTTATGCTGCTAAGACTTCATGTGAAGACTTAAATGATCTCTGGTCATGCAGATTCTAGAGCCAACTTAGCTATGATATGGCATCTCTGATCATTCAAATATCCCCATTTAGGGAACATTAGAAAGTTAGGCATACTACAGGCAATCTGAAAATTCAAATAATGTTGAATACTTGATAGTTTGGCATCTAATTTGCAGGGCTGAGCAAACATTTAACAATTTAAAAGGAAAAAAGTGTTTCATAACCAAAAGAGAGAACATCTAATTGCAATTAAATTATATCAAAGCATTCAACCTGACAAAGAAATACAACTAATTGCAATTCAATTAGAAGGCTGGGATTAAAAACATCTAAACAAATGATAAACCACATGTCCCCAACCAAGGTTGCAACAATACTTCAAGGCTTTAAGCCAATACAGTCACTCATAGTCTATTCGCATGACATAAATCAATTAAATTCACTGATAATTAAAACAGGCGCAATTTCCAAGCATTTCTTGCTTCAGACCTCGAGAACAGTTTTGTTCACCACGAGGGTGATGTTCTATCCCACCGTGTTAGATTGCCACATGACGTATCAATTCGTTTTTATTTTACAATTGTTATAATATTTTCAATTATGGTCCAATTTTTCTAAACAATAAATCGTTTTTATTTACTTTTTCATGATCTTTCATATGGTTCCAACATTGCATATGTAACATTAAAAAAATCGGTTAATAGCAGATTTAAGAAAAAATAGATTTTGTTTTCAATTTTTTAGACGCAATATTGATACCATTGGAAAGTTATTAAATATGATATACTTATGTAAAAAATGGATTATAACATAAAAAGCTATAACAATTTTAAGAAAAAAAGAGTTCAAATGCCGGTGAACAAAATCGGACTCAAATCAATCACTCAGAACAACAGCCTTAGAACCCTAAATAACAAGAAATTCATCAGCTAAATAAATAGATAACCGAAATATCGTGTTCTACTTCCTGATGTCCATTCAAGGAAGCATGTATGTTATAGTATTAGAGAGTAAGGATTGGAGGAGGACCTGGCTGAACTTGGTTTGAAGCTGGGAGTTAACCTCATCAAATGAACGCCGAAGAGTAGCGAACTCCTTACGAGCCTCATCGGACACCAGAAGCCTCGCCATTCCTTCCCAGTCGATCGTCCTGCCGGCCTTGAATGAGACGTCAGCAATCTTCTTTACTGCCCCGTTCATCCTCTCTTTTCTTTCACAGTCTATCTCCCCTCACGAATATACGGGGAGATAGACTGGGCTTTGAAGGAAGATAACTGGGCTTCTTCTGACTATACGGTTATTTTGAAGAATTAGTTTGAATGCCTCTCTTGAAGTTTTAGCTGAAATTTCGTATCAGTAAACTAGACTTGACGAATAAGATGTTAAAAAAATTTCATCAAAAAATTCCACTGGAAACTACTCAATTGGCGATGGCCGGACAAAGCCTCCTAAATAAGGGCTTATTTGACCTTTTTTTGTTGTGAAAATATCCAGTTAGGTCCACTTTATCGAGATGCATTTCACTTATGTCTACTAATAATTTACTTTTCATTTAAAGACTTTCCCTTTTTCAGTTTTAGCTTTTCTATTTCAAAAAAGTCTTACTCTTAACGCTAACCAAGTATCTGATCAATCCAACACATCGAACCTAAATCTAAAATCCCAAATTAAAAACCTAAACTTACTCTCTGTCTCTCCCCTCGTTCTCCATTCTCCCGAGCTTCATCAACTCGGACAATCTCGCTTCCGTTCGTTTGAATCGAATGACATCCACAAGTTTATCCAGAAATCCTGATTATCGGAATCGAGAGGAATCGAGAGAGAGTCGAGCCGACAAAGGAAGATAACACCAAATTCACCGCCACCGACTGATCGTATATTGAGGATTGAGGAATGAGCGATAATGGCGGTGGTTCAATATCTGAGAAGACGACTTCTCTACTTGTTCTTAGTGGAGCTATCAGGCTCTGTGGAGAATATTGGCTAAAGATATCACTCATCCCGAGCCTCTTCTTCCTGTTCTTGCCTCTATCAAGGTTCATTCTTCCCTCCTCCGCACAAAACACTTCACAATCGAAGCACGAACATGCTTTACAGTCATTTATTGTTTGAATAAAATAAACATCAATTATTTTCTCTTCGAGTTATGTTAGACAAATGTTAAGATTTAGTGCCTATAAGACGAATTTGACTACGCACTTCTTAAATGCAATATGATCTATTAATACTTATGTATTATCGAGTGTTCATACTCCGTACTTGTGGCTCCGGTAGCTTGCTACATAATTTCTTAGAATAATTTAATAAGCAATCTAAACATGTTTATTTGGTGGACACTTCCTGGAAGGCTAACTGTAAGTGTAACAACTAGAGGTAAACTTGATGTCATAAGCCTACATATGCATTTTATTGAAATTGTGTTCATACATACTGTTTATTACTTTTATATGAACATTATACATTCTTATATGAAAAACACAGCTATATAATTGTACTGAAGTGTGTATTGACAATTTAACATCTCTCCTTAAATTTACTAATTGTCATTGTATTTCTGTTGACTACCTTCATATTTGTATTGTGTTTCAGATTTCCTTTTATATTTCCTCCATCACATGATGTTTAGTGTTTCAGATTTCCACATTTTCACTTTCAGTTTGTTTTATTTACAAATTGTTTTATTATATCCAAAATTGCACTGTACTTGATATATTTTCATCTATATCTTAGACTTCCTCAGGTAAGAATGGAAAGTCATGATTTCAATTGCTTTCTGTTCGGGGTAACAATTAGAAGATTTAGTGATCACAAAATATTGTTAGGGAAATATTTTATAGAGTAGTGAAAGCTACAAACGTAATTAAGATGATTTGGTTTAAGATGTTAGTGTGAAATTTGAAAGGTAAAGGAAGAAAAATGAATGAATAAACACAATCACCTTTTTCATATTGAGTTCCAAGGACATTTTATTCTCTGTGGGATTTCATGGTGTAGGGTAAGAGTCTTATTCAATCAATGAAGCAGAAATGGTTCACACAGAAATGACCTAGGCACTTAGCCTCTTTCGGAAACTTCCCATTTAAACTTCCCATTTCTAGATTGATCATCTTTCTTCTTATCTTCTTCTTAATTAACATCTAGATCCTTTGTCATATTCTCTTTACATCATGAATATTAGCATGGAATGACTATAGTATCTGAAATCTCGTATTGTAATAATAACTTCACTCTTATTCGTTTTTTTGCAGCAAACTGTCGAGACAATGACAATTGGATGGAGGATAGCACTATTATTGGTTGACTGCATCAATTTCTTGTACTTTAGTATAACTTGTAATTATAATTTCGATCATGAAAGTTGAAAAATAAATTGTACTATGTAATCATTGAACATTTGTGTATGTTGTGCTTATATAATTCTGTTTTGATGTGTTATTTTCTTTTTGTTGCATCATGTTACATCATCTTGTTGCAACGTGTTGCATTTTGTTCCATCTTGTTTCACTTTGTTGCATTGTGTTGCTTTGTTATTTTATTATGTATTGTTTTATGGTGTTGCATTTTATAGTATTTTGTTGCTTTTTGTTGATAGGCACTTATTTGTTGCATTGTGTTGCTTTGTTATTTTATTATGTATTGTTTTATGATGTTGCATTTTATAGTATCTTGTTGCTTTTTGTTGACAGGCACTTATTTGTTGCTGATTTTTTGTTTATTTATGTTACCGCTCACTTTTACAGTTTTACTATTTCAAATAATAAAACAACACACACTTGCACCCAAAATAATAAATTTAGATTCATGATAATCAACAAAAAGAAACATGAATAAACAATAAAAAACAACAGAATTATCAACAAAAAGAAACAATAGTCAACAAAAGACTAACAGAATGATAGTGATAACAATTAATTTAAAAAATCAGGTACTTTCCAACGATATTAATTCACCAAGTTCATAATTTATTTTTTTTCAATTTCTTATATGTTTTACACTCTTACTTTATATTAATTTTCTATTTTTTTTTACAATTTTATGAATTGTATTTACTATTCTTTATTACAAAACACAATTCGGCAAATTTAAAATTTTCAAATTTTATATATTTATTTTTCTATTTTAAAAAAATCATTTGTATTTATCTGATTTTAAAAAATAATTACTTTTTCACAAAAAAGACTTTTTACTCTTCGTATTGTTTTTCACTAGTTTGAAATAAGTTACAGTATTTTTATATAACATTTGGCCATTTTTTGGATTATTAAGGATTTTATCACTCTAAAAAGAGGATTGTATCCTTTCTATTAAACTTTTGATTTTTTTTATATATTGAAAGTTTATATTTATTATATAAATGATTTTTTAAAAACATACTATGTAAATTACAAGGATAACTTTATGTACTTTTTTACAATTACCAACATGTTAACTTTTTTTTAATTTTTATTTTCCATTTTTCTATTTCCATGTTATTTTTTTCATTTTCTACATAATTTTTAATTTTTAATTTTATTTTTGAATATAATTTACTAGTTTTCAACTTTGAACTTTTATAACGCTTTTTTTCTTGACTTTGAGTTTTTATTTATATTTTAATACAAGTATAATTTAATTTTTTTATAATTTTATTTATTTCTATGTAATATACTCCGTAATCTTTTTGAATTTTTGTTATTTTTATAATTTTAATAAAAAGTGGCTTACGTGTTACTACCTCCGTCCCACTAAGATTGGGACGAGATAAGGTGGCACGATTATTAAGAAAAGTGAGTTTGTATGGTTGATATTAAATTGATAAAGTAAGAATAAAGTAAGAATGATTTAGAGCCACACATTCTTTACCAAATTTGGTATGGGACAATCTTAGTGGGACTTCCCGAAAAGGTAAAATGGGACAATCTTAGCGGGACGAAGGGAGTATATGGGATACCAGCAGTCCACCACCTGGAATGTTCACCAAAGTGGGAAACCGGGAGGAAATGAAGCATACGTATGGGACTATGGGAGGTTGGGAGCAGTCCATTTATGAAAAGAAAATGTCCGCCCGTCTATTTTTGAAAGGAAAACTAGAAGGAGACAAAAGTGATATAATTTTCACGTTTTAGCCTATTTCTGAAATTTTCCCTTTTTTGTTAGTACATGGGCCTATTTGCACCTTTTCCCTGAAATATATTATACTCGGTATTTTGGGATAGGACTTTTCCATAATAATATTACTATACTAAATTTAAAAGACAAAAAATAATTTATTCTTAAAATGACACAATTCATCATTCTATCTGCAATTTATCATTCAAAATACACTATAATTTATCTTGTTCAATTATTCATACAAAATAATTAGTCATGTTTTTATCCAAAAAACATAACTACTCATATTTTAGTCAGGGAGAACTTTGTGTAGGAAATTTTGAGGATATTTCAAATGAATAAAACATTACATCATTTTATGAGAAAATTTGTGAAACCTCAAAAAGACCTTATCTAATCTAATATTATACGGAGTATATTTTAATCAACTCTAATAATTACATATTTTTGTACTTTAGGATAAAATATATATTTTAATGTTCATTTAATATTCCAAATGGTAATGTTAAGCTTTTATTGCCCATTTACAATTCGGAGGTTTCAAACATTTACTTTAATTATTATTTAATCTCCTTTATTATGTAGTATCTTCTTTGTGGATGTGCATAAAAACCTATGTTTTTGCATGTTCGGCTAGCCTTGAAAAATGTCCATTTCTATGGTGTGGAAGGTTAGACCGCATTTCTTTGTGAGGTTGAGCTAAAGCGCACTCTTAATTATTGTCATAGACTTTACGGGTGGTGTGTTAAGTGCAAGACACACTTGATGAGGTCACCTATATGAGTGAGAGGTGGGGGCGCCTCCATGAAGCATTGACAACGCTTAATTATTTTTTAATTTTGTTATCAATCATTGATTTCTTTTATTAATAATTGTTATTAATTTGTTCAAAAATAATACGGAGTAATTGTTATTGATTTTTATTAATTATATTGTAATAATACATTATTACTTCTAATTATGAATTATGAATGTAATAATTTTTTAAGTGTGATTGAGTTCCTTTCATTGGGGCATTGCTTTTATCTAATTTAAGATTTGTATCAAATTTGGATTTATGTGTACTCCCTCCGTCCCAATAAATTCTTCCAACCTTGAGTTGGCTCGCATATTTAGGAAGTGGAATAAAGTGGAAATGTATGATTGTAGTTGTGTAAGAAAAAGGTGAAATGAATGCGAGCCACAAAAATTATCCAAAA